GGTGTAATGTATCATAAGTGGTGTAGTGTATCATAAGTGGTGTAGTGTATCATAAGTGGTGTAGTGTATCATAAGTGGTGTAGTGTATCATAAGTGGTGTAATGTATCATAAGTGGTGTAATGTTTCATAAGTGGTGTAGTGTATCATAAGTGGTGTAGATGTATCATAAGTGGTGTATGTATCATAAGTGGTGTATGTATCATAAGTGGTGTAATGTATCATAAGTGGTGTAGTGTATCATAAGTGGTGTATGTATCATAAGTGGTTTTAGTGTATCATAAGTGGTGTAATGTATCATAAGTGGTGTAATGTTTCATAAGTGGTGTAATGTATCATAAGTGGTGTAGTGTATCATAAGTGGTTGTAATGTATCAATAAGTGTGTAGTGTTTTCATAAGTGGTAGTGTATCATAAGTGTGTAGTGTATCATAAGTGGTGTAGTGTATCATAAGTGGTGTAGTGTATCATAAGTGGTGTAGTGTATCATAAGTGGTGTAGTGTATCATAAGTGGTTGTAGTGTATCATAAGTGGTGTAGTGTATCATAAGTGGTGTAATGTATCATAAGTGGTGTAGTTTCTTATGATGTATGTATCATAAGTGGTGTAATGTATCATAAGTGGTGTAAGTGTATCATAAGTGGTGTTAAGTGGGATTCATAAGTGGTGTAGTGTATCATAAGTGGTGTAGTGTATCATAAGTGGTGTAGTGTATCAATAAGTGTGTAGTGTATCATAGTGTGTGTAGTGTATCATAAGTGGTGTATGTATCATAAGTGGTGTAGTGTATCATAAGTGGTGTAGTGTATCATAAGTGGTGTAAGTGTTTCATAATGTGTGTAATGTATCATAAGTGGTTGTAATGTATCATAAGTGGTGTAATGTATCATAAGTGGTGTAGTGGTATCATAAATGTGTGTAATGTATCATAAGTGGTGTAGTGTATCATAAGTGGTGTAATGTATCATAAGTGGTGTAATGTATCATAAGTGGTGTAATGTTTCATAAGTGGTGTAGTGTATCATAAGTGGTGTAGTGTATCATAAGTGGTGTAGTGTATCATAAGTGGTGTAATGTATCATAAGTGGTGTAATGTATCATAAGTGGTGTAGTGTATCATAAGTGGTGTAATGTATCATAAGTGGTGTAGTGTATCTAAGTGGTGTGTGTATCATAAGTGGTGTAGTGTATCATAAGTGGTGTAGTGTATCATAAGTGGTGTAATGTTTCATAAGTGGTGTAGTGTATCATAAGTGGTGTAGTGTATCATAAGTGGTGTAATGTATCATAAGTGGTGTAGTGTATCATAAGTGGTGTAGTGTATCATAAGTGGTGTAAGTGTATCATAAGTGGTGTAGTGTATCATAAGTGGTGTAATGTATCATAAGTGGTGTAAGTGTATCATAAGTGGTGTATGTGTATCATAAGTGGTGTATGTATCATAAGTGGTTTGTAGTGTATCATAAGTGGTGTAGTGTATCATAAGTGGTGTAATGTATCATAAGTGGGTGTATGTATCATAAAGTGGTGTAATGTATCATAAGTGGTGTATGTATTCATAAGTGGTGTAGTGTATCATAAGTGGTGTATGTATCATAAGTGGTGTAGTGTATCATAAGTGGTGTAGTGTATCATAAGTGGTGTAATGTATCATAAGTGGTGTAATGTATCATAAGTGGTGTAATGTATCATAAGTGGTGTAGTGTATCATAAGTGGTGTAGTGTATCATAAGTGGTGTAATGTATCATAAGTGGTGTAGTGTATCATAAGTGGTGTAAGTGTATCATAAGTGTGTAATGTTTTATAATGTGTAGTTATCATAAGTGGTGTAATGTATCATAAGTGGTGTAGTGTATCATAAGTGTGTAATGTATCATAAGTGGTGTTAGTGGTATCATAAGTGGTGTAGTGTATCATAAGTGGTTGTGTATCAAGTAGTGTGTATCATAAGTGGTGTAGTGTATCATAAGTGATGTAGTGTATCATAAGTGGTGTAATGTTTCATAAGTGGTGTAGTGTATCATAAGTGGTGTAGTGTATCATAAGTGGTGTAATGTTTCATAAGTGGTGTAATGTATTTATAAGTGGTGTAATGTTATAAGTGGTGTAATGTTTCATAAGTGGTGTAGTGTATCATAAGTGGTGTATGTATCATAAGTGGTGTATGTATCATAAGTGGTGTAATGTATCTAAGTGGTGTAATGTATCATAAGTGGTGTAATGTTATCATAAGTGGTGTAGTGTATCATAAGTGGTGTAATGTATCATAAGTGGTGTATGTATCATAAAGTGGTGTATGTTATCATAAGTGGTGTAGTGTATCATAAGTGGTGTATGTATCATAAGTGGTGTAATGTTATCATAAGTGGTGTAGTGTATCATAAGTGGTGTAATGTTTCATAAGTGGTGTAGTGTATCATAAGTGGTGTAGATGTATCATAAGTGGTGTATGTTCATAAGTGGTGTAGTGTATCTAAGTGGTGTAGTGTATCATAAGTGGTGTATGTATCATAAGTGGTGTAGTGTATCATAAGTGGTGTAATGTATTCATATAGTGGTGTAATGTATCATAAGTGGTGTAATGTTATCATAAGTGGTGTAGTGTATCATAAGTGGTGTAATGTTCATAGAGTGGTGTAGTGTATCATAAGTGGTGTAATGTTTCATAGTGGTGTGTAGTGTATCATAAGTGGTGTAGTGTATCATAAGTGGTGTAATGTTTCATAAGTGGTGTATGTATCATAAGTGGTGTAATGTTTCATGAGTGGTGTAGTGTATCATAAGTGGTGTAGTGTATCATAAGTGGTGTAGTGTATCATAAGTGGTGTAATGTTTCATAAGTGGTGTAGTGTATCATAAGTGGTGTAATGTTTCATAAGTGGTGTAATGTTTCATAAGTGGTGTGTGTATAAGTGGTGTAATGTATCATAAGTGGTGTAATGCATAATGGTTAGTGTATCATAAGTGGTGTAATGTTGTTCATGAGTGTGTATGTATCATAAGTGTGTAGTGTATCATAAGTGGTGTAATGTTCTAAGTGGTGTAATGTTTCATAAGTGGTGTAGTGTATCATAAGTGGTGTAATGTTTCATAAGTGTGTGTGATCATAAGTGGTGTAATGTTTCATGAGTGTGTAGTGTCATAATAATGTTTGACTCATGAGTGGTGTAATGTTTGTCTCATGAGTGGTGTAATGTTTGACTCATGAGTGGTGTAATGTTTGACTCATGAGTGGTGTAATGTTTGACTCATGAGCAGTGACAGTACAAACAACTTTATACAAAGCGTTTTCTCTTGCTTGGTATATACTGCTTGAAAGACAGTCTTCCTTTGAACAGAATGAAAGACTCATCAATAACAAGCTTCCTAAAGTGATAAAAATACATATTGAATTTCTGTTTCTAATCCACAAACACATTCCTAATCTTATATAACCTGTCGTTTCTGTCAGGCCTGGTTTTGTCTGAGAAATGAAGCATACATAATAGTAGCACATATTGATTCACTCCTATTATATCACTGAAACCTGGGGTTGCAATCATGCGGTCTGTTGACCAGTATGATTTCACACTGTGCTTATACACATGTGACATAAGCATTATTGTGGCAAACAAAAGATACATGTCAGCCACAGTTGTCTCCTTCCCCTGGTGTAGACGTGAGTTTGGTTAAATATTGTGTTTGCCATGGTGTACTCGTAGTATCTGTTGGTTTCCCTGACAATAATTTCCATCAGGGGTTCGTCAAAGAATAACTCAAAACATTCCAGTTCAGTGGCATTGTTCCCAAGCATACAAGATGGCCGTATTCCATTTTGACTTTCATCAGAGTGATGGGGATTGGGAACAAAATTATCAGCTTCTTGCCAATCCCAGGTACGGTCTGCTGGTGGGTACTGGATATTGACAGGTGGTTGTGGTTGTGGTTGTGGAGGTTGTGGTTGTGGAGGCTGGTGTGGTGGTTGGGTGGGTGGGTAATGGTGGCCTTTGTTGTAGATCAGCTGAGGCAGCGGCGTGGGTGGCAGCATGGCCCACTGCTGGTGCCTCATGGCCCGCACCACTACCACCCCAATGCACATTTTCCATCCCAATTGCAGCACTATCATCTTCATTTTCACTGTCTGTTCCTGTTGTACAGCCAAAAATGTACTCCTTTCCCTTGGAATTGCATATGGCACACCACCAGAGCGCATATATCGTTGTATATACTGACACTTTACTGGAGAATATTCCACTTCACTATCACTACTGGAACTGTTTTCAAGAGCTTGTAGTTCATAATCACTATCACTATCATCACCAATGCTCACATCTGAGTCTGGGATTTGGGAAAATAGGAGTTTCCTCTTTGATTCTGGTACAACTGAACATGAACAAGATGGCCCAGCAGCAGAGGTGGAAGGCTGAGGGTCGTCTGGGTTTTCCTCACTATTACCGGTATTATGGTCATTAGTTTCGGTCACAACCTCATCAAAACCTTGAAACTCATCTTCACTGGCACTTCCATCTGTATTAGAACTGTCACTGGGGAACAAAAGTGTCCCAATTCGCCGAGGAGTGAGGAGCTTTTTACCACGAGGCATGGTGAACAAGGTCTGCTAAAATGGCATTCCCACAATGCGCCACTGGGTCTCAGAATTTTTTTCTACCACGCACACCGACCACGCACATCCATTCTCTCACATCTAGGCCTACCAGCTGTTTCTCGCTTAATTTGAAGCCACTAGAATTTATGTGTATTAGTACGGCACCAACCCCGGCGCGCAAGCCGTACTAGTACGGCACCAACCCTGTAAGGGTTAAGAGAGAAAAATTCACCATGATTCCTTCAACAGCTGTCATGCTAAAAGTGCACAGATATCACAATTTGAATAACACTAAACTGCAGAATCTCCAGGGAGATAACTCTGTGTTTTCTGTTATCTAATGTTGCATGTGATTTTAATTTTGTGATGGAGTTTATTTATTTATTGATTAGTAACTATTTTGTCTAATTGACAGGGGCTGTGCACACCTATTTCAGCAAGCAGCAAGGTAGTAGCATTAATAACTATCATCCGGGCCAAGAACTCTGCCACTGTCTCTATCCCATCGTGGACCATCTCAGCATACACTTGTGTTAGTAAGTATCGATATGCCATGCTTGTTAACAACAATAATGTTTGTTTCACACTGCCTCATACCAGGCCATCCACCTTTAGGCTTGGTCTGGAATCAGGCTCTGGGGGTCCTGACCCCTAGAACACTCCAAGTAGACCAGAAGAACATATACCAAAGTAAAATACAGTTGATAAGACTAAAGTAAATAAAAACTATAAATATTGAGTTGTAGGAGCTTGAGCATCTAGCAAGCTTGAATAAGATTATCATATTGGAGCATTAACAAGTGACTTCCATGGCTTGACATACTGCTCATGTATGAGCAAGGTATCATATATGAAGGGTTTCAGGGAAACTGGTTAGTAGGTCTTGAGTCCTAGAAGTAGAGAGTATAGTGCTTGCACTCTAGAGGAGAGGCCAAGATATAGCAGTTTCGATAGTCACTTAAATTGTAATGTCTTGGCCAGTGGTGGGCACAGTTCCACTAATCCGCTAACCGCCATTTAGCGGAACTAGCTTTTTGCTTAGCGGATTAGCATTTCCTCTAACTTCAGAAACTGTTGGTGGACCAATTAGCTTCCGCTAAATAAAGTTCCGCAAAAAAAAACGTACGTTGTTGGTAGTTGGAAAGCAATGCCTTTTCAGCGGCGCTCGTGTTTGTTCCTGTCTGTTGTGGGCGTTTCTCTAACAGTCAGTCAGGCATGCTATTGGCTGACTACATGTAAATGTGACTTGTCAGTGCAGCAGCATCTGAGCACATTGTTATAGTCCTCCATACCCCTCCCCCTCAATCAGACAGTACCATCTTAGGAGATATATCTCCTATTTTGAAAGTTCTCATTATGTAAACTTTCATTATTCTGCCATTTGCTGTATTTGTTTTATTGTGATCTCTGACATTATTTTTCCTAATTTTGTACTTGTCTCTTATATTCTAGTAAGTAAGTTTATTCAGGTATACACAAATACAGTTACACAGATTATCATACATAGCAGCATATGTGTAGAGAACCTAGAATAACCCAAAAAAGTTAGACAAAGTGACTTATTTCCATTGGGGTTCTTTTAATATCTTATTATTATACTATAAAGGAGATAATATCTTATTATTATACTATAAAGGATATATACTAGGAATAAGGTAAAATGAGTTATTTACATTTACATGTGTTAGCTGGAAAAATTTAAAATTATTCTCCTCCCTTTCTGTTCCTACATTCATTAGGTACCTTTCGGCTCTCCTCTTGAACTGCTTCATGCTATGATTGGCTTTGACATGTGCAGGCAGCCTGTTCCATGTTTTTATTGCTGAATAATAAAGGATGTTTGAAGCCTGGCCACTGACTGTAGGTACTACAAAGTTGTGTTCCCTTCCCCTAGTACTATGATTGCTTTGGTTCCCAACCTTGACAAAACTGGCAGCAAGATATTCTGGACACTGTTTGTGAGCAATTTTATAAACTTGATTTAACTTCAGTTGTTTTACTCTGTCTTCAACATTCAGTATATCCAGTTGCTGTAATTCATCCTGGCCTACATGTTCTCTTGGACCCAGTCCATGATGAATCTTACAATTTTGTTCTGGGTGGTTTGTAGTCTATCTTTCAGTTTTTTGTCAAAAGAGTACCATGAAGAGCAAGTGTAGTCCATATGACATCATATAAGGGCTAGACATAGGGTCCTGCGAGCCTCAGTAGGTAGACACTGTGCTTCAGTAAGTAGACACTGTGCCCAGTAGGTAGACACTGTACCTCAGTAGGTAGACACTGTGCCTCAGTAGGTAGACACTGTGCCTCGGTAGGTAGATACTGTGCCTCAGTAGGTAGATACTGTGCCTAAATAGGTACTGTGCCTCAGTAGGTTGACACTGTGCCTCAGTGGGAAGACACTGTGTCTCAATAGATAGACACTGTGTCTCAGTAGGTAGACACTGTCTCAGTAGGTAGACACTGTGTCTCGGTACGTAGACACTGTACTTGTCTGTAGAGGAACTTCAGTCTGGCATTCGCTTTCTTTACTTTGCTGTTCCCTATCAATTCTCCTGACATGCATGAGTCAAAGAGGATTCCCAGATATTTTACTGAGGAAACTGAAGTGATGGGTTCCCCATTACACAGGACATTAAAATTATTTGCCCTTCTCAGTTTGCTTTTTTGTGCCAAAGAGTATGGCTTCCATTTTCCCTAGGTGTAATGATAGTTTGTTATCTGCTAACCATTTGCTGCAGGACTCCAGTTCTAGTGTTATTACATTAGCTATATCTTGTGGGTCTTTACCTGACATTAACAAAGCACTGTCATCTGCATACAGAAGGAGTTTGCACTTGACACTGATAGTCATGTTGTTTACAATTGAAAGACTAAAAAACTAAGCTGAATCTGAATTCATGTGAAAAAGTTAACGTGAAGCGTTAGCTTCTGCTAATTTTTTCGGCCGTTTAGTGGTTTAGTGTAAGCGGAGCTAATTTTTTAGTTAAGGGATCAGCGGTTAGCAGAGCTAACTTTTTGATTAGCTGTGCCCACCACTGGTCTTGGCACTTATGGCAAACAATTATTGGACAAATGCTGGTTAATGTTTTTTGTGTCCATTTACCTTGGTAGGAGACAGCCAATGTGTTAAAATAATAAGTGGTTGGTATTTTTGGTAGGGTATGCAAAAGAAGAAAATTAAAAGTGAATACAGGAAAGAGTAAGGTTATGAGGATAACAAAAAGATTAGGTGAGGAAAGATTGGATATCAGATTGGAGGGAGAGAGTATGGAGGAGGTGAATGTATTCAGATATTTGGGAGTGGACGTGTCAGCAGATGGGTCTATGAAAGATGAGGTGAATCATAGCATTGATGAGGGGATAAGGGTGAGTGGTGCACTTAGGAGTCTGTGGAGACAAAGAACTTTGTCCTTGGAGGCAAAGAGGGGAATGTATGAGAGTATAGTTTTACCAGCGCTCTTATATGGTGTGAAGCATGGGTGATGAATGCTGCAGCAAGGAGAAGGCTGGAGGCAGTGGAGATGTCATGTCTGAGGGCAATGTGTGGTGTGAATATAATGCAGAGAATTCGTAGTTTGGAAGTTAGGAGGAGGTGCGAGATTACCAAAACTGTTGTCCAGAGGGCTGAGGAAGGGTTGTTGAGGTGGTTCGGACATGTAGAGAGAATGGAGTGAAACAGAATGACTTCAAGAGTGTATCAGTCTGTAGTGGAAGGAAGGCGGGGTAGGGGTCGGCCTAGGAAAGGTTGGAGGGAGGGGGTAAAGGAGGTTTTGTGTGCGAGGGGCTTGGACTTCCAGCAGGCATGCGTGAGCGTGTTCGATAGGAGTAAATGCAGACAAATGGTTTTTAATACTTGACGTGCTGCTGGAGTGTGAGCAAAGTAACATTTATGAAGGGGTTCAGGGAAACCGGCAGGCCAGACTTGAGTCCTGGAGATGGGAAGTACAGTGCCTGCACTCTGAAGGAGGGGTGTTAATGTTGCAGTTTAAAAACTGTAGTGTAAAGCACCCTTCTGGCAAGACAGTGATGGAGTGAATGATGGTGAAAGTTTTTCTTTTTCGGGCCACCCTGCCTTGGTGGGAATCGGCCAGTGTGATAATAAAAAAAATAAAAAGTTTTCATTGCATTTATGGATTTAGAAAAGGCATATGATAGAGTGGATAGGGGAGCAATGTGGCAGATGTTGCAAGTATATGGAATAGGTGGTAAGTTACTAAATACTGTAAAGAGTTTTTATGAGGATAGTGAGGCTCAGGTTAGGGTGTGTAGAAGAGAGGGCGACTACTTCCCAGTAAAGGTGGGTCTTAGACAGGGATGTGTAATGTCACAATGGTTGTTTAATATATTTATAGATGGGGTTGTAAAAGGAGTAAATGCTAGGGTGTTGAGGAGAGGGGTAAGATTAAATTATGGGGAATGAAATACAAAATGGGAATTGACACAGTTACTTTTTGCTGATGATACTGTGCTTATGGGAGATTCTAAAGAAAAGTTGCAAAGGTTAGTGGACGAGTTTGGGAGTGTGTGTAAAGGTAGAAAGTTGAAAGTAAACATAGAAAAGAGTAAGGCGATGCGGGTATCAAATGATTTAGATAAAGTAAAATTGGATATTTTAGGTAGTAGGTTGGTAAACAGCAACCGCCCAGGGAGGTACTACCGTTCTGCCAAGTGAGTGTAAAATGAAAGCCTGTAATTGTTTTACATGATGGTAGGATTGCTGGTGTCCTTCTGTCTCATAAGCATGCAAGATTTCAGGTACGTCTTGCTGCTTCTACTTACACTTAGGTCACACTACGCATACATATTCAAGCGTATATATACACATTCCTCTGGGTTTTCTGCTATTTTATTTCTAGTTCTTGTTCTTGTTTATTTCCTCTTATCTCCATGGGGAAGTGGAACAGAATTCTTCCTCCATAAGACATGCGTGTTGTAAGAGGCGACTAAAATACCAGGGGCAAGGGGCTAGTAACCCCCTCTCTTGTATAAATTACTAAATTTAAAAGAGAAACTTTTGTTTTTCTTTTTGCGCCACCCTGCCTAGGTGGGATACAGCCGGTGTGTTGAAAGAAAGAAAGAAAAATTGGATATCAAATTGGAGAGGAGGAGTTTGGAAGAAGTGAATGTTTTTAAATATGTATTTGGGAGTTGACGTGTCAGCTGATGGATGGATGAAGGATGAAGTTAACCACAGAATTGATGAAGGAAAAAAGGTGAATGGTGCATTGAGGTATATACGGATACAAAAAACATTATCTATGGAGGCAAAGAAGGGAATGTATGAAAGTATAGTGGTACCAACACTCTTGTATGGGTGTGAAGCTTGGGTTATAAATGCCACAGCGAGGAGGCAGTTGGATGTGACGGAGATATCCTGTCTGAGGGCATTGTGTGGTGTAAATATTATGCAGAGAATTCGGAGTGTGGAAATTAGGAGAAGGTGTGGAGTTAATAAAAGTGTTAGAGGGCTGAAGAGGGGTTGTCGAGGTGGTTTGGTCATTAGAAAGAATGGATCAAAGTAGAATGACATGGA